GAAGAAGAAGAAGAAGAAGAAGAAGAAGAAGAAGAAGAAGAAGAAGAAGAAGAAGAAGAAGAGGAAGAGGAAGAGGAAGAGGAAGAGGAAGAAAGAAGAAGGGGAAGGGTGCCCATTGAATTGTGTCTGACTCTTGACAGTTCTTTGGGCAGGGTCTCTCCATATCTTCCAATCTTGCACTTCTTCTTTGAAATTGTTCTATGTTCTGGCCGGTGGCAGCTTTGATGGTTTCCAGCCACCGTGTAATTTGGAGGCCTGGTTTCCTTTTACCTCCAACCTTTCCATGTTAGGAACAAATTCCTAATGGTAAAATTATCTGATCTGGAATGTGTTATTAAGGAAGATGTCATGTTCGCCTTTGCCGGAGGAATTCAAGTAGATCATGGAGATTTGAATTAGGGTTCTTGCGCTGAGCCGGAGACCTCAAACTGATCTCAAGTTGACCTCAAGTTCCTCTTCCAGTTTCAGATTCAAATCTGGCTATCCTCAACTTCCCAGACTCCATCTGTGATCTCTTTAAGTCTGCTTGTCAAAGGCTGGTCCTTGAAGAAAACTTTAAACCCAAATGCATTAGAGTGTCTTCTTCAAATGGTTGAGGGCAGCTTCAGACCCCTCTTATATCATTTTGCATCCCTGTATTATAAAAGTCAAAAGGGACGCGGTGGCTCAGTGGCTAAGATGCTGAGCTTGTCGATCAGAAAGGCCGGCAGTTCGAAACCCTAGCGCCGCATCACAGAGTGAGCTCCCGTTCCTTGTCCCGGCTTCCACCAACCTAGCAGTTCGAAAGCAGGTAGAAAAATAGGGGTCACCTTTGATGGGAAGGTTACAGTGTTCCGTGCATCTTCGACATTTAGTCATACCGGCCACATGTCCACGGGGACATCTTCGGACAGCGCTGGCTCTTCGGCTTTGTAATGGAGATGAGCACCGCCCCCTAGAACCGGAAATGACTAGCACATATGTATGAGGGGAACTTTTACCTTTACCTATTATAATAGCCAAGACCCCCAAATAGCGAGATGGTCAAAGATGGTCTCTCACTTCCCAGTAGGTCTTCAGGTCAACTTCCCTCAGTATTTGCAAGAGAAATTTGTGCACTTTCTTTTTTCAAGTTCTGCAAAGGAAGAGGCTCCTTTCAGGCCAATTCCCCCGACAAGGAGGTTCTTGCTTCCTTCCCCATCTCCCATTTTCCCCACTTCTGTTGTCCCAAATCCCATTTCTATCGATTGGGTTGCAGGAAATTAGGTCAAAGAAAGATGATTTCCCAAAGCAGACGGCAGAGATTTCTAAATTCCGAAAGGTATCCCTTAAAGACTGCGACTTGACTTGTTTTTCCCCCGCCCTTAATTCCAAGTTGCTATGGATGAGGCTATAAAAGGAACTTGTCACCAAGGACTGAAATATGGGTTTGCATCTTCATATAAGTGAGCTCGCTTTTTCTGATTCTAATCTCCTACCAGGATGGAAAACCATCCCCGTTTTCTCCAATCTTCTTATTAAACGTTCTGTAGCCACAGGTAGTCTTCAACTTACAACAATTCGTTTAGTGACCGTTCCAAGTTACAAGGGCGCTGGAAAAAATTGACTTAAGACAATTTTTTCACCCAGATGATGATTGCGGCATTCCCCCAATGTCCATGATCAAAGTCCACATGTGTGATGACCCAGGGTGGGATACAAAATAAACACAGTCAAAAAAAAAACAGGTGAAGCCCCTTTTATTCCTTCATTTTGCTTCAAAGCTTGACTGGGGACAAAAAACTCCCCCACAAACAGTTACAAAAAAGGAGGAAATGCCATTTAAATTAAAAATGACTATAAATTATAAAGAGTAAAAACAACACAAGCCACACTGACACAGTTAAGGGAACCAGGCGAGATAAGGGCTTGAAGATGTTCACAGATATCGAAACACACACTGGGAAGGATGCCAAACTCAGAGAGGAACGACAGACTAGAGATATTTCCATGCTTTGTTTCCAGCACTGGCCCATACGCATGTCTGTCCTTTTAACCAGTTCTCACAGCTGCAGCCCATGAAGGGGATCAAGGCCCTTTCCTCCCCCGCAGACCACACCATTGATGTTTCTCCCTTATCCTCTCCTCCATGCGTGCCTTAGGATGGAGAGGGGATGGGCCTGGGACTTCCTCTTACTGCCCAGCCGGCCTCTGCCCTTCCCCAGCCTCCTCCACAACCTCCGGAGCCACACTTCCACTCCCTGTCGGCTGTTCCTCCTCTCCCTCAGAGTCAGACTCCAACATGCTTGGTGACTGATTCATATTTATGACAATTGTCACGTCATAAGTATCCCTCTTTTGCGACTTTCTGAAAAGCAAAGTCAAAGCGGGGGCATATTCACTGAACAACCGTGTTAGTAACTTCACATTAGCAGTGATTCACTCAAGAACTGAGGCAGGAAAGCTTGTACAATGGGGAAAAACTCACAACTTAACAATGTCTCATTTAGCAACAGGAATGTTGGGCATGCTTGTGGTCATACTCATCATATTTTTTCAACGGATTCTTCTTCTATTTCTTTGTCCCCACTGCAAAAGAAATGAGATTTCTCCTTTGTCCTTCTTTTGACTAAAAGTCTCTGAAGTTGTACATATTTTGAAGTTAACTTGAGCAAATTGGTGTTCTGATTCCTAGAAGCATTTACAAATGGAGAGGGTTTTTTTAAAAAATTAGAACGAGTCTATTTTTTAAAATCATTTAATTCTTACTCCTCTCCAAAGAGATCCAACAAACACATATGGCATTCTTGGAGTTTAGTTTTGATGGAATAATAATTCTACTGTCTCCAGTGCTGTCATGAAGCCAAATGTGGAAGAAGGGAATATTTATTTTTCTTTTATTTCTAAGTAAGGGAAGAAGAGAAGAGTGAGTCAAAGCTGGCAAGGACATCTTTCCAGTTCTGATAAGCAAATTGAAATTGTATAACAATTCACGGCTTTTTAATCAAGGGCTGACACTGTATGTGTGTGAATTGAGGTGTTTTTGCTCAGCTCCAGATGGTTAAATTCTTCCTCCAGTTCTTAATAAACTCCCCTCCTTCAGATAAGATCTGAATACCATAACTGCCTTCTCATTTTTGCAATTCTTTGTTGTTCCCTTCTGTACCAGGGAGGTTAGTCAAGTGACTTCAGGAGGAATTTCAGTCCTACAAATGGAAGTGTAGAAAGTCAACGCCTACCCCTCCTAAAAGAATGAAATATTTTGGGAAGTATTTTTAAAAAAAGGCAGAATATTATATTTCCCCAAAGGGAGAAATGGAGAAACGCAGCCCCCCACTTTTCTTAATAGCCCACAGCACTTAAGAGATTATTGAAAGAGAAAGACAAGTATCTAGATAGCTCTATTCATAAGCAAATACCCTCACCCAAGATCCAAAACAGGACAAAAGCCATTAAGCCACAATAGAAATTGCCCAACACCCTTTTGGAACACAAGCCCCTTCCTTGCATCATCCCACACAATCCAAACCTGGAAGCCCAGATAAACAATAAGCCAGAGGTTGACTAGATTACCTCAGAAAAACACCTAGGATTTGCATTTCCTCTTTGCCTATAGAGCCAGCTATGACCCTTACATGACCCCGTAGGAATCTGACAACAGCTAATAGAAGACATGTTCTTCCCACTCTCAACTCCATGTTGTTAGCTGCCCAGAATCACATGTGCTTGGTGGTTCTGCTTCACCAATAAATGGACCTTTTTTTCAATCAGCCTACAGCCTCCATTTTGTTTCCAATGCCTTTCTCCCAGCTTGGAACTGAACCAGATGGATATTTCTTCCCACAGAAGAATAATTTCTGAAGCTAGATTTTTTTGCTTGCTTCGTCTGCCACTCTGAGATTCAGGCCTGTATCTGGCTGAGTGAGACACGCAGACAAATATTTCAAAGAACCACAGGAAGGCAGTTCACCATTTCTGCAGTCCTTGTTCACCATCCTTGGGTACCTCCAGGAAGCTGATCGGGTTTGACAGGCTGAGCTTCCTGAATGTGAAGAAACAGCTGCAGAGACACTACAGGCCTCAGGCTGCCCAGTGAAAACTGCCGACATGAACAGAAAGCATGGATTGCTGAATGATTTGTGTTGCCAGCCACTTGTGCAAAACTACTGATGTCCACTTAGCCAGGAAAAGTTGGTTTCTTGCAGCGACCTTGCAAACCTTGTTTGTTTCGGTTCAGCTTCTGGGACACCAGAACTACCAAAGCTGCAGTGGGAGGGAGACATTAAAAGTCTGTAGATTTATAGACTGTGTTCTCACAAGGTCTTTAATGAGATCAGATACGGACCCTCACAAATTTGTCAAAGAATGAGTGTTAGTAATTTTGTTTATATAAAGCAGAGCAAACAAAGAGTACAGTCACCATGTGCTTTACTGATCAACTGTTGAACTGTAACAGGAAACTGGAAACTTTACTCAGAACAAAAGAGCATAGAGTATATACTATAGATCCAAACTTGTAAATACTGCCCTCTACTGGCTGAATACTACTGTAGTTATTTAATGTTTATGAAGATTCTCAGTCATCTAGGTCAAGGTTGTCCCAACTATAATTGTTGCATAGAAATACATTCCAACAATGAAGTCCAACAACTAGAAGACCTCTGTGGTCTCTTCCAGCTCTGTTATTCTATGATTAGAGCTTTCCAGATGTGAGGTTCAGCATGTTAGGTCAACCTTACTCGTTGGATTCTTTATAGTTCAAGATTATTGTGCAACTCTCAAAAGTAGGTCAACTTTCCCACAACAACAGGTAAGCTTGAAATGCAAAACCAGCCATGGTGACTCTGTTAGAGAAGTCAAGGGAGACTCCTTCTCCTCGTCCTATTTTGATCTCCCTTTCTCTTTTCTTTGTCTCTTCCCTGTAGGTCTCCAGGTTATCTTCCCTCAGTATTTGCAAGAGAAATTTGTTCAGTCAGCACTGAGCTACATCATGTGCAATGGAGAAGGCGAATACATTTGCCGAGACAGCCAATGCGGATGCCAATGTGCCGAAGAGTTTCCCCAGTGCAATTGTCCCATCACTGACATCCAGATAATGGAATACACATTGGCTAACATGGCCAAATCCTGGACAGAGGCCTACAAAGATCTAGAGAATTCAGGTAATTGTGGGTAAAGGTAAGAGTGTCTTGGTGGGATGACATAGTAAGTTTATGCCCTGTCTGATTAGCCCTTTGGAAGATGCCAAAACTGATGCTCAGAAAGAGGTCTATGGAGATTCTCAGTCATCCAGGTCATGGTTGTCCCAAAGGTGCTTTTTCAAATGCCAACTTTGTTTTCCCTTGAAGAAGTTTCACTTCTCCTTCAAGAAGCTTCTTCATATCTCAAGAAGCTTCTTGGATCAGAAGCAAAAAAACAAAAGTTTTCTTGCACTTGAAGAAGCTTCCTGGGTCAGAAGCAATGTGTCTTCAAGGAATGTCCAGTTGCCCTTTGGAAAAGCATCTTTGGGACTCTTTCTCATCATCGGTGGTGAGTCCTTGAGCTGGAGATCCTGAGCATCGGTCCTTGGACTTTCTCTATGGGATGTGGATGTTGAACTTTAGTTCTTTCTCATGGAATCCTAGGATCCTTCCCAGGGCAAGAGTTCCCTCTGGTGATTCCTTAAACTGTAGATCCTGAGCCTTGAGCCTTGGACTTCCTTTATGGGGTGTGAATGCTAAACTCTGATCCCTTCTCATAGAACCATAGGGTTGGAAGGGACCTTGAAGGTCTTCTAGTCCAGCCTCCTGCCCAAGGCAGAAGTTCTTATACCATCCTGGACAAATAGATGTCCAACCTTTTCTTGAAAACCTCAAGAATACACCTGTGCCCATCATTCTATGGTGGGATGAAAGATGATTTACAGGTTCTCCCATCAAATGATCCCCTCTTGGAGTTATGTGTATGTAGATGTGTTTTGTGTGTATGGTTTTCCTAGATGAATTTAAGTCCTACATGAAGAAACTACCTAACAACCATTTCCTGACCATTGGGAGCATCCATCAGCACTGGGGGAATGACTGGGACCTTCAGAACCGCTATAAGCTCTTGCAGAGTTCCATGGAGGCTCAACGGCAAAAGATCCAGCGTACTTCCCGTAAACTCTTCAGCCTCAGTATCCGTTGTTGGCACAATCCACACCACCAGCTGCCTAGGGAAAGGTACTGGCGCTCTGCTTTTAGCTGGTGTATGGGTGTATGAGTACAGGTAGTCCTCTACTTAAGAGGACAATTGGGATCAGAATCCTTGCTCTTAAACAAGATGGCTGCTGAATGACACAGTTTAGTTATAAGCAAGTAGAGAGTTCAGGTTGAAGAATAGCAATAGCAAAAGCACTTGGACTTACATACTGCTTCACAGTGCTTTACAGCCCTCTCTAAGTGGTTTACAGAGTCGGCCTCTTTCCCCCAACAATCTGGATCCTCATTTTACCAACCTTGGAAGGATGGAAGATTGAGTCAAACTTGAGCCAGTTGGGGTTGAACTCCTAATTGTGGGCAGAGTTAGCTTGCAATCCTGCATTCTAACCACGGCGCCATCATGGCTCTTTTTTAAAGGTTAACAGTCCCATCCTAACAATCAAAGTTTGCTTGGTGCAAACCTGTATGGTTTTCTCCCTTAGAAATAAGGAGCAAATTTTGCAATGCCCCTACCCACCCCAAATCTTTGCCACAAGGTTACCCGATATCCTCTGCAGCCAATTAGACTCAAGGAAGCATCGTTCCCAGGCAATTTTGGGGCTGTCTGAACGCTACTGGACAAGAGACAGCAGTATTTAATATGTGGGGGCAGGCTTCCAAAAAGATAGAGCGGTAATATCAACAGCGTGAGATTTTTCCTGTGCCATTGACAAAGCTCTAATAGAAATAGCATGTTCTATATTCAGATTATGGCCTGAGGCAACACACTGACACCCAAGTACCCTTAATGGAAATGAAGGCAAATAGAACAGAAAGCTAAAGAGAGAGAGAGAGAGAGAGAGAGAGAGAGAGAGAGAGAGAGAGAGATTTGCATTTACCTAATTTTAATGGTTCGGAAAGGCACGAGTTAAAAAAAGAGAGAGAAAAAAGCTCTTTTTACCGTTGTTTGCTTCTGCTTTTCCCCCCTTCTCTTTCCACATCTAGAGTTTTGTTTGCAAAACAAGCCCAGTCAATGCATTAATTAAAAAACAACGCCAGAGGTGACTCGGATGAAAAAGCAAGAAGCGAGCTGGGGATTTTGTTTCTCGTTTTTTTTTTGCTGACCTGGTTTTATCATTTCTGAATGGGAAGCATTGCATGATTTATAAGGCCTTGGGCAAAGCCACTGACTGGAAGAAGCCATGGATTGAAGGGGTTGCCTTGCATATGTAAAAAACAACAACAAAAAACTCATTTTTTTCCCCCCCCAGGGATATACCGATAGCTGTTGCTAACAGATGAAAAACTGAGGAATGGCAGGGAGAGAGGTTGAGGCCAAGTTCAGACCGAATCTTAAAAAAAACCTAAAAGAGTTGGAAATAATTCTCCAATGCACCTGGGAGTGTATCAACACATTTTGGAGACGCTGAGATATTTTGTATGTTATGGAATAAAGCTCTGCTTTTTTTTGCATTTTTTTTTTTTAAAAAAAACCCAGGAGCAAGCTAGAAACTTCCATGCCCATCGTTCACCTGGGTGGGTGCCTCCTTTAGGTCAGAAATGTGCAAAAAGACAAATCCTAGATAAAAGGAACCATTTTGCTCGGGAGAGAAGCACTGAAGGAGGAGCTGACGCATCAGTGGGTGGGATTCAAAGTGTTTTAGCCCTGGTTCAGTGGGTGTGGCTTGGTGGCCGTGCTTTGCCTAATGCCGGTGTGCCGCTTTCCCACACCAGCTGAGACCTGTAGCACCAATCAGCTGAGAAGTTAAAGAGAAAAGTGCAGGGGCAGGTGGGAGGGCCAATCCTACGCTTTTTTTTTTTCCTCTCAGCTGATTGTTGGCTTTTTTGTCCCCACTATCACCACCGTGATGCATCAGTTTAACTGACCGTAGCTGATCCTTAAAAGAGACTGTCAAAGAATGGAAGTTCAAAAAATTCTTTTAGGAGAAGGCAGTGGCCACCCGTATCTTCACTGTTGACAGGAAAACTATCTGGTCGTGCAATCTTGATGGAATTATCCAAAGTGGAGCTTGGCTTGAAGGACATCTCACCTTCTCATCAAGTGACGTAAATATAGAGAGCACTGTCTCAACTGCATTGAGGGTTGAAGTCAAAAGAGCTTTGGTTTCCTTCTTGCCCACAGGGACTTGTCTCCCATGACCAACCATCCTTATGAACCTCCCAATGCAAGCCACTTTGAGGGACCTTGATCTTATTTGAGGGTTAAGCCAGGCCTATGTTCCTAGACCAAGAGGGGACAACCTATGGTTGAAACTATTGGGGTCCAATGGAGTTGGGCAGCCAATACATTTCAATAAACTATAGCCCGCAAAAAGGGAAAGCTTGTGATTAATGTTCTACAACAGCAGTGGTCAAACTTTCCATTTCTTGGAGCTATCTATAATTCTGGGAAGAAATGGAGGTCCAGGGTAGGTACGAGCATGTCAGGTTTATGGGTGTTGATGTGAGAAACTGGTCAAGTTTATAAGGGAGAGGTGATTTTGCAGAAAGTCATCCTTTGGGTTGATTGTAAGGCATGTAGTTGAGTTGGGGAAACTGATTTTGGTCTAACCCAGCCGTTGAGGTTCCTCAGAAGTACTTAGAGATGTAGTAAGAGATGCCCTATTATAGCCTGTACTTTGTCACTTGCAGGACAATACAGCAGTGGCTCTCCCGAGTCCAATCTTTGCTCTACTGCAATGAAAATGGCTTCTGGGGGACCTTTCTGGAGAGCCAACGGAGCTGCGTCTGCCATGGGAGCACCAGTCTGTGCCAACGGCCAATCCCATGCATCATCGGTGGCAACAACAGCTGCGCAATGTGCAGCTTGGCCAACATCTCCCTCTGCGGCTCCTGCAACAAGGGCTACCGTCTCTCTCGGGGCCGCTGCGAGCCCCAGAACGTGGACTCCGAGCGCAGCGAGCAGTTCATCAGCTTCGAGACCGATTTGGACTTCCAGGATCTGGAGTTGAAGTACCTCCTTCAAAAGATGGATTCCCGCTTGTATGTCCACACGACTTTCATCAGTAACGAGATCCGCCTGGACACCTTCTTTGATCCTCGGTGGCGCAGGCGCATGTCCCTCACCTTGAAGAGCAACAAGAACCGGATGGACTTCATCCACATGGTCATCGGGATCTCCATGCGCATTTGCCAGATGCGCAACAGCAGTCTGGACCCCATGTTCTTCGTCTACGTGAACCCTTTCAGCGGGAGCCACTCCGAAGGTTGGAATATGCCCTTTGGAGAGTTTGGCTACCCGCGTTGGGAGAAAATCCGTCTGCAGAACAGCCAGTGCTACAACTGGACTCTCTTGCTGGGGAACCGGTGGAAAACGTTTTTTGAGACTGTCCACATCTACCTACGTAGCCGGACTCGGTTGCCCTCTTTGATGCGCAACGAGACCGGTCAAGGACCTGTGGATCTTTCTGATCCCAACAAGCGTCAGTTCTACATCAAAATTTCGGACATTCAAGTGTTTGGATACAGCTTGCGCTTTAATGCCGATCTGTTGCGTAGCGCCGTGCAGCAAGTCAACCAGTCCTACACCCAAGGTGGGCAATTCTACTCCTCTTCCTCGGTCATGTTGCTGATGTTGGATATACGGGACCGAATCAACAGATTGGCACCCCCGGTAGCTCCTGGAAAACCCCAACTGGATCTCTTCTCTTGTATGCTCAAACACCGTCTGAAATTGACCAATACAGAGATTATCCGGGTGAACCACGCTCTGGATCTATACAACACCGAGATCCTTAAACAATCCGATCAGATGACTGCCAAACTCTGCTAACCCCCCCAATTTTATGTACTTAATCTATACAAACTAATCCTTTTTGCTGTAAACAGACACACTCGGACAAAACAAAACGTATGAAGAAAGGAAATCAACCGACATTTAAAAGAAACAAAAAAAAATAAAAGAGGAAAAAAAGATTTAAACAAAAATACAGAGGGGAAAATAAATGTAAAATGTAATTAATAAATGAAAGAGTGGGAGGGAAAAGCAGAGGTCCTCATTCACCGGGAAATGAAAGGCATTTGGTTTGGATGGCCGTGTAAACGAGACGAGCGTGTTCTGTTGCTCGTGTAATTGCACAAACACAAAGGAGGTCAAGATGTGGGTTTCCGTGAGATTGTTGCTCCGAAGCGGCAGAGGTGGGTGGGGACAGATGGTCTTTGGAGATCTCTTGTATGTAACTGTAAAGATTTCAGCTATGCAGGTGCCAAATAGAAGACGATAAGAGTGTGGAAGAGAGAAAAATTCTGTGTACATGTACAAAGAATTGCCATTTCTCCCGGTTGGGGGTGAATGGCCAAAGATAAAACATATTTCTTTTGTGAAGTGTGAGAGCAGCTTTATTCTGAATCATTTTGTCTGCCATCCTGAGATAAACTGGTCTTTCTTATCCCCTTCCATCCTGAGAGGAAGGAGGCAAATTGTTAATCAATTGATCAGTTGATCAATTAATCAGCCCGGTCTAGCAAATCAGTCAAATTGTTTGCTAGACCGGGCTGAAATCTGTTTAAAAAGGAAGAAAATTGGGAGTTAGGTTTATGCAGAGATTTGATTTGGAGATGGTACTATTGAGCTTCCAAACTGAATTAACTATCTAAATCAAGTTGACAAAGTTTAAATTATCTCCTTGAGTTGGTGGATTCTGACATGGTCCCTCAACTGGATGGATGGCCTTTTTCATAAACCGAGAAAGGCCTTCCCCACACACACTAAACAAATTGACAGTCCAAAATCAGATGGATTTAATCTGATGATTAGATTTGAAAATGCAGATTGAATGGATAGAGAAGGAAACGGAATCAAATTTCAATACCAAATAGAGCTGGAAAGGTTCTTGGAGGTCTTCTAGTCCAACCCCCTGTGTTTTTTTTTAAAAAATTGTCTCTGGTTTGGGGTATAATCGAGTTCAATCAAATTCCCTTGATTATTTTCCTATCACTTGAAATAATAGAGCATCTCTTTTTTACCTCTGCGATAGGATCATAAATACATATGGAAGTGAAATTCATTGGACTTTTGGGCATCCACAGATGAGCAATATACGGTTAAACCAGCATTAGTGATGTCCATAATCAAACATACTAAAATGACACGGAGATTCTCAGTCATCCAGACCATGGTTGTCCCAAAGGTGTTCTTTTGAAGAGACAACTGGACTCATTGTTTTTCCTTGAAGACGTTTTGCTTCTCATCCAAGAAGCTTCTTCTGTTCAGAGAACAGAGAATTGAAGAAGCTTCTCCAACAAGAAGCAAAATGTCTTCAAGTCCAGTTGCTTCTTAAAAAAGCACCTTTGGGATATCAACATGACAACACATACCCAAAGAGGCAATCACCCGAATGCCTCAATTTTGTCCTTGTGTCAGGTTGTCTCGTCTCCTGTGATATAAACGGTGGCATATGTGGGAGGTCATCATGAAGATGTCATTTGTTGGATTCTTCCCACTTCCCTTAAATGTTCACGACTTACATAGCTCTGTTTTTATTCAGTGAGAATGATGTCCCTGCAAGCGGCATAGATTAGATCTCTTAAAACATACGTAGCTTTGTTCCAGCCTAGATAAAGGGGGATGTTTTAGCTCAGGGTTGATATGAGGGGTCTTTGGCGCTCTCTGTGCTTGCTTGTTTTCTGGTTCTTTTCTAGACCAAGACAAGTTGAAAAATGCCGAGGAATTTCTAGAAGCCTGGCATTTTAACAAATCAGGCATCAATAGACACATCGACATTAACAACATCTACAGCAGAGGTGGTATTCAGCAGGTATGGACCAGTTCTGGAAAGCCGGTAGTGGAAATTTGGAGTGATTCCGAGAACCGGCAAATACCGCCTCTGACTGGCCCTGCCACTATCTCTTCTCTGCCTCCCAGCTGATTGGCTGGGTTTTCTTTGGTTGCCCTGCTCAGGAGAACGGAGCTGGAAAGCAGGTTAATGGGGTGGGGATGGAATGGGATTTTGCAGTAACCTTCCCCCTGGAGTGGGGTGGGAATGGAGATTTTATAGTATCCTTCCCCTGACATGCCCACCAAGGCATGCTCACCAAGCCATGCCCACAGAACTACAGGCTATGCAAAAGACTCCAGCACCTCTCCATCAGCAACCCGCACCCAGATCAGCATAGATTAACTCCAAGGTTAATTTCAGACCAACAAGCAAGTAAGCAATACCCCAATCAAGAAACCGCCAAAGAGCCACCAGTAAACAGCCCAACCAGAAAATCTCTTAATCTCTTGCTCCCCACCAGCAGTAGGCAAGTCACTAGAATAAAAATTGAGAGCAAATCCCTACTAACACTGATGAAGACACCTAGTTTGGGTAATGAAACATCTGCAAGAAAACAAGCAAGGACAGAGAGCATCAAGAACCCCCTTGGTGGGGATTCTATCTGAGTCCATCATCCATCAACTGCCTACTCATCAACATAAATCAATCCACTGCAGGATGATACCTTGGTTGAAGATTATGGACATGTTGGTTGGTTGTTCATGGTTGTTCCATGTTGGTTGGATCAGCTTGCTTTTTTGACTCCCCAGGGCTTGAAGTCAGTGAGGTTGGCTGTCTGAAGTCATCCAGCTTACTTCCATGGTTAAGGGAGACCTAGAACCTTGGTCTTCCATCTCTTAGCTCACCATCTTTAAGCACCATACCACACTGGAGTGAATTCATTCTCTCTCTCCCTCTCTCTCTCTCTCTCATTATGTGCAGGAGCATCTTATTAGTATGTTGATGTTAAAGCAGCTAAGGATGTTGAAGGCCCACTTGGAGAAGGCCTGAGAGTTATGCGTGAGGTTACCATGGAAATGAGAGGAGCTCTTTAATTAGCTCTTACAGGAAATCCTTGGGAAGGGCCTTGGATTCTATAGAGGGGAGGTGGGGGCTGAAGCAAATGTAGTCCTTTCTCCTCAGTTTCTTCTCTCATTTTGCTGAGAAGAACAGCGGCTAGTTGAAGGCTGCTGAAGAAGATACAGAGGGATAACAATAGCCCTTAGACTTATATACTGCTTCAAGGTCTTTACAGCCCCCTCTAAGTGGTTTACACGGTCAGCATCTTTCCCTCAACAATCTTGTCCTCGTTTTACTGGCCTTGGAAGGACAAAAGCCTGAGTCAACCTTGAGCGGCTCAGAATCGAACTGTTGGAGTGAGCAGTGAGTTAGCCTGCAATGCTGTGCCACCCCGGGCTCTCTTTCTTTCTTTTGATGTAGAAATGCACCCAGATCACCAAAATGGATCCAGGGTAAAAAGTCCTGTCGAGGGAAAACTAGACATTTAATGATGGGTGTGAAAATGCCTCGGAAATCATAAAAGACGATAGCCAAATTCCGTGGTAGCCTGGTTGTCAGTCGGCAAATGGATCCTACATGTCCAAGATCTTTACAAGGTCTCAACTAAGATGGGCAGCTTGTCCATCGGTCAGCTTGTTCGTGTCAACGAACCACAACAAGCAAATCACATCTCCCAATTCCAAGAAAACAGCAAAGCTGATTGATGATGACAGGGAGAACAGTTCTCTATGCATATCTGCTTTCTAACACAGGTATAAGGTAAGTTGCTCACACTGTGTGCAATTCTTTTCTTTACATTCTGGGTTCAGAAGGTCCTGGTTCTCCATGTTCGTGGAGATGAGGAAGGGAACAGCCTCAACAACTCTCACACCGTTTATATATTTTATGCAAAGTCTCACCAATGAATCCAGACCCAGTCGAGTGACAACTGTATACCTTCAGAAATCCTTGATGTTCCAGGTTAAGTTGTAAAGACTACCTTTCTTTTAAAGGGACAACCATTTCCAAGAGCTGTCAGTGGGCTTGGCGCACTTCTAGTTGGTGATGCAAAGACAAAAGCTTGTAGTATTTGCATTGAAAGGTCATCAATTGAAGAGGTTTTCTACAGACGGGACATAAGTGAAGGGTAACAGATAACCCGTTGCTTCTATATGCAGTGAGAGCTTATGCACCAGAGACAAATTCCTTGTGTGTCCAATCACACTGGACCAGGGAAGAATTCTGTTCTGTTCTATGCTATGCCATGCCATGCCATGCCATGCCATATTTCTATTCTATTCTATTCTATTCTATTCTATTCTATTCTATTCTATTCTATTCTATTCTATTCTATTCCATTCCATTCCATTCCATTCTTTTCTTATCCTATCCTATCCTATCCTATCCTATCCTATCCTGCCCTACCCTATCCCATCCCATCCCATCCCATCCCATCCCATCTTCTATCCCATCCCATCTTCTATCCCATCCTATTCAATCCCATTCCATTCCTCTTCTATTCACAAACAACTATTTTCTCTCTCTCTCTCTCTCTCTCTTTCATTTTCTGCTGGGCCCATCAATCTGCCTATTCCTATTTGGGAGCCTCACCTAAATCTGTCACTACAGAATAAATTTGTCTAAACACTCAGGGTTTTTACTGCGAGATAACTGCATTATTATGTAGGGAAGTGTACATAATATAAATATATTCTCCTAAAATACACATGAAAACCTCCCATGTACACTTTCTGACATCAGATAAGTTGTGGGG